TATGCATGTCACACAACATTTGGCAGGGGGAGCAGAGGGTCGAATTACCTGGACTCGAACCGACTTGGAGCCATTCCCAGCTGGAGTCGAACCAACTTGGAATCGAACCGACTTGACCCTGGGTTCGCAAGACTGCCCCGGAGGCTACTCCCTCGTGGGCGACCAATGCCTCATGTTCGTGAACCACCTGAACCTGCCCCATGGAGAAGCGAGGGAGTACTGTCAAGCTGCTGAAGGAGAGCTGGTCGCCATCACCACGGCCACGGACTTCAAGAATCTGGTCGATTACATCCACGACAGCGGTGGGAAGAGAAACGTATTGTTGCATAATGTATTGGGTGTAGATTCTGGAAGAGACAGAGAGAGACAGAGTCAGAGGGAGAAAGAGAGACAGAGAGAGATAGAGGAGGGAAAGAGAGAGATAGAGGGAGGAGAGAGGAGGGAGAGAGAAGAGAGAGAGAGAGAGAGATAGAGATAGATAGAGAGAGAGAGAGAGATAGAGGGAGAAAGAGAGAGATAAAGGAGAGAAAAAAAGAGATAGAGGGAGAAAGAAGAGATAGAGGAGAGAAAAAAAGAAATAGGGAGAGAAAGAGAGAGATAGAGAGAGAAAAAGAGAAAAGAGAAAGATTTTTTCCTCCGCCAGTTCAATATTCATAGAAGTACGGGAATCTAATCGCCTCTATTGCTCAACCAGTGGGTTTCTTACATTTATCATTCTCATCGGTTCCGCTAAGCTAATTTGATCTTAATGTCTTTACAGATTTCTTGGCCCGAACCTTCTGGGTGGACGGAACCGACGGAGAAGCGAGGGCGTCTGGGTGACGTCGTCAGGAGGAGCCGTGCCCTTCGGAACCCCCTTCTGGGCCGCCTTCGAGTACCGGCAGCAACCTGACAACTCCGCCGGGAGTGAGCACTGCCTGTCGTTGCCGTCGCGATGGTTTCACTATATGAACGACGTCCTTTGCACTGACGCAAAGAACTTCATATGTGAAGCCACCATCCAGAAGGGTGAGGCTGGACTTGCTCAAGAATTTCTTGATAATGAAGTGAATTGATTATATGTATATATTTTTATAAACACGTGTGCACATGCAGACAAATTTCTACATATGTATATATACATACATACATATATATATATATATATATATATATATATATATATATACATACACACACACACACACACACACACATATATAATATATATATATATATATATATATATATATATATATATATATATATATGTGTGTGTGTGTGTGTGTGTGTGTGTGTGTGTGTATGTATATATATAGATATGTGTATATAAACCTTATATGTACACATACAAATCCATACATATATAATGCAAACATGTGTATATACACATGCATATATATATATATATATATATATATATATATATATATATAATTATATAGGGATAACTAGACAGACAGAGCGCAGAAAAGGTAAGAATGAGACTGAATATCCACCCCGTGCAAGCCACGTATTTGACCGGCTTCGGATATTTGCCGCCAGAGCCCGAGGTCGCAAGCGCAGCCCTGGCTCCCTTCGGCCCGTCGGCGGTGGGCGTTGGGTGCACCTTGCCCTTCGTGGAGGTGGGCGGCCTCTGCCTGATGTTCGTCACGTGGGCGGAGGAGACCTGGCACGAGGCGCGGCGGGCGTGTGCGTCAGTCTCCGGCGACCTCTTGGCCATCGCCGACGTTGAGGTGTTGAGGGCTGTGTACCTCCACATACAGACAAGTGGTAAGTCATTCCTACCTTTTCACAAAATTGATAGACGCATTTTGTGTAATGAGTCACTCCTAATAGTAAGCCACTCTTATTAACCATTGTAAAATTAGTCATTTATTATTATTGTATAATATGTATAGTTGATAAGTCACTTATTAACTGTAAGTTAATGTCATTTATTAACTATAAGTTAACGTCACATTAACTATAAGTAAATGAACGTCGCTTATTAACTATAAGTAAATGAACGTCACTTTTTAACTATAAGTTAATGTCACTTTTTATATTTGTATAATTAGCCACTCCTATTAATAGACGCATTTTGGGGCCAATGAACCTGAGAACGCTTCCATATTTCTTACGATCAGGGCCGGATTCTCAAAAAGAGCCTTAAGTTAAGGCGTGTTGGGGCCTTAACCGTCCTGCGGCGACCTAAGTTAAGGCCCGTCAAAGCGCCGTATCTCGGACTTAGCTTCGTATACACAAACGTTTTTTAAGGCGCCTTATCCCTCCCTTAAGTCCCGCAGCTCTGCAAATCACTTAAGGCGTCGGATCTTCGGTGGCCAATCACAGCTGCCGTTTCAGGCGGCTCTTAGGGTATCTTGACCAATCACAAGCCGTAAATGCCAATCAGCTGATTTCGTAAACACAACGCTGTGTCCAGCCCGTGGCATGATAGAACTTTTCATCAAAATTGGTATTATTGAAAATGCAACCCCACACCTAATTTCAAGAATCTGAGCTTACCCAGCAGTAGTAAACATCATTCTAAGAATTTGCCTCTATACCATTTTCTGCGCAAATTGATAATAACGGTGTTACAGAGGTATAAAATGCACGATTTCCTTACGAACGCCGCGACAAATGACAAAAAGTCGATAAGAGTGACGGAAAATCAGACGAATTTGTAGCGGATGACGTAGGCAAGGGAAATCATGTGAGCCAATTAGATTCGAGCGTGACCGTGATGTGAACATAGACACTCAGTAGAACCAAACAGATATGGAATAGGTCATCACGTGGCAAAAGAAATGTGTCAATATACTATGCTTGTTAGTATTCTACCGATATTTCTCGAAATTATCCCCCAAATTAACTGATATGCATCATGCCTTCCCTAGCTATCGGGACCGATATCGTAGTTATACTTCGTTTGCGAAGGAAATGAGCGCTAGATTCGCTCGGAACACGACGAAAGCTATTATAAAATTATTCTATTCACTCAAAAAACGGTGTGTGGTTGCATCTATCGGGAAAAGCAAATCACAGTTATGTTGGAATACTAGACGTTCCCTTATCTAGTAGTCCACAGTTAGTTTATGTACACCTAATGACACTATAATTGAGTAAAATACAAATTGTAATGTTGTATTAATTGTTCTAGGGCTCAAAAATGCCATTTATGCTTCGCCGTAACTCGCTAAGGCTGCTCTCCCTCTGCCTTAACCGAGGCGCCTTAACTCGCACCAATATGGCGGATCCCTTGCTCTGTGCACGGGCCGTAAGATCGCTCGGCCGTAAGTTAAGGCGCCTTAAGGAGATACGGCGCCTTAACGCGTTTGAGAATCCGGCCCCAGGGTTGTACGTTTTACGAAACGCCGACGAATTTTTGTTTTTTGCTTTCTCTACATTTCTGAATTTGGCAGTTTCGCACAGCGTTAATCTGTGTCCTCTGTTTCTTTTTCTCTTTATTTTCGTGGCTGCTAAGACGCCCGATTGACTAATCCATTGTTGCGGAATTCGAGGCTCTCAGGAACCTAACTTTATGCTAGTACAAGGGGGAGGGGGCTATAGGCCTATTCGTCATTCGACATATGCCTATCTCATTTATTTGCTAATCTTCCAATTTTCCAGTATCGTTTTATGTCCCTTGTCTTTCTAGGCCTTTTGTTAGAAGTATTGACTGGATCGTTTGTTTATTAGAATACGTGAATCAGTTTGTAAATCTGTTTACTGTCATAAGTGAATTTATGGGAAAATTAGTGTAGTTTTTTCGGACTTGATTCAGGCTACTGTTTTATCGGATTTACTTATTTATATCATTTTATTTTCTGAGAATATAACATATGTTTCCGGTCGAAAGTCAGGCCTACCTCCCCTCCTCCCACCATATATGTATTGAGGAATACAAACATATATGTATATACTTTTTTATATACAGAAATGAGACAGTATGTTTGATTAATAACATTGTCAGCAAAAGCTGTAATACCATTAAGAATTTACCTGTCTGTTTTTAACGCCACGTGCTAATTCAAATACTCTCAAATAATCAGTATAATGTATCCCATCTCAGAAAAAAGAATATCTGACAACTCATCACAGTCGCTGTCTCCTATGTTAATAATAACAATAGCAATAATAAAGTAGTCCTCATACGTTTTGTATACCACTTCATATGATTCATTTTGCTTCACTAACCTTCGCTGCTTTTGAGTTTCAACAGCCGCCTCTACTCCAGAGTCCGTGGTGAGTTGCCAGTTGTTGTTTTCTTTGAGTTTGGAAGCAATATAGTGAATTCTTGTTTAGGTTTATCCGGCCACACTTTCTGGCTTGGAGGAACCGATGTAGAGAGTGAAGGGACATGGATCTACACCACAGGGGAGCCAGTTCCCATGGGTAAGATTATACTAGTTTTTCCCATCTTTCCTTTTTTTTTCAAAACTTTATCGAACTTAAAATCTCTTTATTTTAAATTTTCTCCAACTGCCAAAAATATTTTGTATGGAATTCGAAAAGGTTTCAGCAATTCATGAATACTGGCTTGTTTCAGGCACCCCCTTCTGGGGTCTTAGTGAAATGAGTGCTCCGGTCCAGGAACCCAATGGAGGAACCAGTGAGAACTGCCTCGCGATCGGCAATTTTTACAATTTCAGGGATTATTCCTGCGACTCGTTATTTAACCCAGTTTGTGTCTATACTGGATGAGCAAGTGGCAGGAGAAAGGTAAAAGAAGAATGTTGAAATAATAATGATAAAGAGAATTTTAAAAAAGGAAATAAGATACTTTTGTCTTGCAAGCATTTCTTGAATACGTTAGTGACTAATAAAATGTGCAATTACATATACGTATCTTTGTTTTCTTTTAGTCTTGTAAGTTCAACACATGTACAAATACAAAATTAGTGGAACATACAACTAAGTATTCTCTTCATCTACCAAATCATGCTTTATAGTCATCAGGTATAATAATAAAACAATAGATACATTGTGACATGTAGATACCTTTATCATGTCAATAAATCTGCTTCCCTAGTTTA